CTGTAAAGTGCCTTGAGATGACATGTGTTGTGAATTAGCTCTAAATTAATAAACTGAATTTCATTGAATTTCATCTTTTCGTTTTGCTGAACAGAAAACTGATAACTTGTTTCAGCTGATAACTTGTTTTTCTGGCAAATTTATTTCTATCCTGACAAAATTAACAAAATGTTATTATTTTAAGCTGCGGCAGATATGTTTGCACGTGTTCCCGTCTTCATTTTTGCTCTTTGGTTTGATGCTATAAAAAAAGAGCGATGAACAAAAGGTTTCAAAATAAAAAGACAAAATGGCTGACTACTGATACTTTATGCTGTTTTATCTTTTTGTTTTGCTGAATAGAAAACAGGGAAGATTTACTTTGAGCTGGTAACTTATTTTTCTGACAACAAATCCAGACAATGGTATTTCTGTCCTTTCAAAATGAACAAAATAGTTGTTTTAAGCTGAGCCAGATATGTTTGCACGTGTTCCTGCCCTCATTTTTGCTCTTTGCTTTGATGCCATCAAAAAAAAGAGCGATGAACAAAAGGTTTCAAAATAAAAAAGACAAACGTGCAGAAATAATTAACAAAAAGAAAATCAACAAAGCAATGTTCAAATCTGTCTCCCTTAGGAGATAAAATCAGACACAAGTCCAGCCTCAGAAAGATCTACTTACTTGATTTCTTTTTGCATCGCAGACACAAAATCGACAGCAGACTCAGCGACACCACTGAGACAACAGCCAGGACTGCAGCCACCAGACTAAGGTCACCGTTCATACCTGCAACACACACAGACACCAAAAGCTCACCGACTGTAATGCAGCTTCATTTCACTTGCTGCAAAGGTTCAGTCGAATGTGCTAATGGTCAATAGCTATTCATTTTGAAGGTGGTTTTTTTCCTGCTATCAAGGCCAAGCGTCACAGGATGTGGTTGGCTCAAAGAAAACTGAAACGTAGTGCTTCTTGTACAGGACTTACACCATGCTGTCTAAAAGCATCAGACCTCATAAGAAGAGAGCACCTGTGAGGAACTTAAAAAAATAAATTGTTTCCTACAAGAAAACCTTTAAACAACATTAATATCATGTGATGTCATACCATGTACGTGCATGCAAAACAATCTTTTACGCTATTTCCTACGAGAAAGCAGTTTAGGTATAAATAAAAGTCAAAGTGGCACCAATGGATGATCGGAACACTTGGTAAACCACATTGCTTCTGCTTTTTTTGTTTTTAGATAATTAAGGAGCAAATAGTGATGTTGTGAGATAAATAATGCTGACAAAACAAAGGCTGTCTATTATTTGTGCGTCTCTAGACACCTTTAAAATGCCTATGTGACAACGCTCAAGAGAAGGCCCTTGATAAGGATCTGGTTGAACGACAAACGATTTTATTTCAGACGGGCCTTTATCAGAACCATCTGGGCCTCGATTTGAAGGAATCTTTATTTAAATTTCCCAAAGAACTTTCTACACAATGCCTCTCTTTATCGGTGTACAGACAGCATGCAACAGATTTTACCCACATTTGGCTCAGTTACCTCAAAGCATACAGCTCTAAGGTAAGCAAAGACCTTTTTTTTCCCTGTCACTCTATGGATAACAGGATTTTGTGCAGATCTAATGTGTTCTCAGACACAAATATTAACATAGAAAACCACACTAACAACTAATTATTCTGCTATGAATTAATCTGTACTAATCATTCAATCCATCAATTTAAATCACACTGAAATTTTTGTATTTTTTTTTTATTGCTAAACTCCAGCATATGTGAAGGAGAAAAGATTTTTAACCACTGTTTTTTTTAATCAGAGAGATTAAAAGTGTGTTTCTGTGAAACATGTGGATCGAGCTCAGAATAATCCTGTCTGAAGCCGGTAAGATAGTCATCATTAACATAATAATAATAACAATGGAACTTTATTGATATTACATTGGAGAAGTTTACCTCTGCATTTATCCCATCCCCTTGGGGAGCAGTGGGCTGCCATCGTGGGGTGCCCTGGGAGCAGTGTGGGGGTTAAGGGTCTTTGCTCAGAGACCCAGAGTCTAAAAACTACTTGATATTCGGAGACATGTCTGAGATGGTCTGACGAACTAAAATTGAAGTTATAATGGCTATAATTAGCATCCGCAATAGAGACAATACAGGTGAGGAAACAGCAGTTTTTTTGGACTTTTCTGCTGCAGGAAGAGTTGGGGAAAAAATGGAGATGATCTTATGTGAAACGACTGAACCAACATCTAAGATTTTCAGAGCGCTAAAAGTGCTAAAATCTTGCTAATACAAAAGGACCCTAATGACAGTTGAATTAACGAAACATTAACTTAATTTGATTCACAAGAGGGCACTGTGCATGCAGCGGCCTGTTACATCAGCTCAAGTAAATTTCTCCACTGTGGGATCCATAAAGTCAATCAATCAATAAAGGCTAGAATTCACGGTGTTGTAAGGAAAATCACAAAGCCATGGAAATTGGAAAATTTTCAGCATAGATGAAAAGTTGAGTGAGGGCAAGGCTTATATTGTATCATACCAAAACATCTAACGTTTGCTAAATAAGACCTTATCTAAACATTTTAACATAAAGTGAAGGTTAAAAAATGTTTTAAGTCTAATTGACCGAAAACCGAAACACTCCATGCGCCAGAATAGAGTCAAGTGGATTCACATACACTATCAATTCAAACATTTAGAGTCAAAGGTATTTTTAACATAAAAAAGCTAAAATAAATTCTTAAAGCTAAAAAAAATGCTCTAACCCAGACAAAAAACAAACTTTTTGCTATTTCTGTATTAAAGCATCTTGGAATTAAAATGATGCTTAAATGCAATATATTTAGCCATGTTTTATTTATCTATATTTATATAGATATTACACTGCATACCCATACTGTTTAAAAACTAAGCAAACTGTGCAAAGCAAGGTAGATGATTTAACATCCAATACTCTAGATAAATGAGCAATCTGTTCTACAGAGCTTTTCCTGATTAGGCTTCAATGAATAATGTTTTACTAGATTTTAGCAATTTCCATGAATACTTTTCTACACCAAACTTTTTTTTTTAATAAAAAGTTAAATAATAACTAGAAGTCTAATTTCTAAATTCTTAAAACAATATGTTTTAAATTTAATAAACATTGTTCCCCTAGATGCTTTTAATTTCAAAGTTTTAGATGTCTGTGTTCAGTAAACTATTCAATAGGATGCACCGATGCTAATTCCCTGTGCTCTAAATATTGTTCTTTGGAAATTTGTATTTAGTGGCTTTATACATTACCTTTGTAGTAAGAAATTAAACTAGACCAGGCTATAATAGTAACTGTAAAAATAGAAGGATTTGCCTTTTTTCTCTCTGAGCATGATCATGCATTACAAATACAGACGTGAATGAAAACTATATTGCAAAACAAGTTTCGTTTCTTAAAATTTTACATGTTAAAAAAAATATAAACAATAACATACATTGACAGGTGACTTTTTATTTTAAGAGAACAATGGGCGACAAAATGCATCTATAATGCGAAACAATGGAACAGGGAGTGAAAGCTGATAAACGGCGATCGGAAATTTAAAACCTGTTTAAAACTCCTGCACAGATTTTTGTGTGAGAACCTTCAAAACAATGCTAACCTATTTTTTCCCCTCCCCTCTTTATAATGCACATTGAATACACAACATTTGAAATGCATGTCTCAAGTGGTGGTCTCATTGGAAAGTTGCCTCTTTCCAGTGGGTGTAAAGTTTTCCATCACAGAATGCAGCATCTCTAACCTGATTGTTTGCTGCAGTTGTCATTACTCTGAGAAACCAACTGTAATGTTTTTGCTCCATTTAATCATAGTCAGGCACAGCTCTGGTAAACATTAGGTAATAGAAAAAAATAAAACAAGGTTCCCTACCTACAGATTTCAGCCAAACATACAAAAAAATTAAGCTAAAGCTTTAAACAGGTAGAAAACTGTTTAAATCTCTGTATTATTCAAACACGCAGACATCTCATTAAGCATCAAAAGTGTTTGGTGTAATTCCTAAATAATTTCTTATTCACCTTTTTACTTGCACTATAAATGATTTAGTAACAACACGAAGCGTTAAGCATTAAAAACATCTTTATCTTCTTCCTGATTTACTTCTGATTTTTTGTACTTATTTTTACCAAAAGCTTTTTGCTTTTGTTCTGTGCTTCATTTAACAATTGATATGTTTTACCAACATATACTAACATGTTTTAAATGGTAATTAAAATACACAGTTTGCTTCCTGTATATATTATTTTAATATTTTAGATCAAACTTCAAGATTTCTTTTAAAATAGAACAAGAACACCAAATATTCAAAACATTACAACTATTTGTGTTTTTTTAATGATCCTACAAATAAGCAGCCTTATTAAGGATATACATGGCACTGGAGTGGTTACTGTTTATAACAATGATTAAAACTTATAGCTGTATTTCCTTGTTAATTTTTTTTATCTAATAGCATCGACCTGCAGATGAAAACGAATTATTCGTAATATGAGAAACATACTTTTAACAAGTGAAGGTAACACTTACTTGAACAGTCTTTAAGCTTGAGTATCAGTGGTGGCTAAATTCATACAATCAAGCTAGGATTTCTAAAAAAATTACATCCTTTAAAAAAAAAAACATTTCATAAAACAATCTTGCAGATACAGATTTGCTCCAGTGTTGGAACAAGGCAAAGTCTACTGATACCTAAATACAAGTGTTATCTGATGTGTTGCTGTCTTACCTTCAGAGGTCCAGCCGCCTTCATTCTTCACCTCTTTCATACAGCAGCAGGCAACAGCCACAGTTCCACTGTCAGCTCTACTTCCTCTTTCACGTCTCCCCACATCCGTCAAGCCCTCGCCTGAGTTACCGGAGGGGTTTTTAGTGGTCACAAAACAGCTCTAATGAGCAGATAACTGTTGTAGAGCAAGAACTCCCCCCCTAACAAGCTTTTACACCATTTAAAGGAAACCTTTTTGTTTTTGCTAAATTAATGCAAAATACAACAATCTAATAATGTAGCATGTTGGGTCCAAGGTAGGTTATCATATGAAATCTGACATGATCTGTTTATTACAACAAGAATTCAACAAGTCAAATTCCAAACCATAGACAAACACCACACTACTCCCCAGGCGTCGCACAATGGCAGCCCACTGCTCCCCAAGGGGACGGGTTAAATGTAGAGTTCACTGCCGAAATAGCTCAGTTCGGAGAGCGACAGACTGAAGATCTGAAGGTCCCTAGTCCAGGCCCAGCTATCAGCAGATTTACACAGTTTACTACCTGTTTAATGCTTTCAGCCCAGCTTTCTCTTCTGAATACTCATACTTAAATGGTTATTATCAGGGGGGTGGTGGCGTAGTGGTTAAAGCATTGAGTGTGGGTTCCAGAGGATCTGAGTTTAAGCCCCACTCCAACAGACTGCCACTCTGGGTCCCTGAGCAAGACCCATAACACTACATTGCTCCCCGGGCGCTGCACAATGGCAGCCCGATGCTTCCCAAGGGGATGGGTTAAATGCAGAGGGTTAATTTTGTTGCTCTGCACTTGTGACAATGTCATGACAATAAAAAGGCTAAAAAAAACATGCATATCATTACTAACGTAATTCAATTGATAAATAATATCCTTTTAAATTATCTGAACGGTCTTTGCTTCACAATAAATAAGTCTTGCAAATTTAGAAAAGAAAAAGATAAAAGGTTAGCAAAACAAGCAAGCATAACATGACCTTACCTGGGTAAATAGATTCGCCCATTGACTTCAGATGAATTTCACCTTAATTTTCATGCATCCAGTTGCGGACTATCAGAATTTAAAGATGGTGGATAAGATAGGCTACAAACAATTGAGTTTTCCTTTTGTACAAAGAGTCAAGGCTAAACCTCAAGGGTATATCAGTGGAAAGGAGCCAGCCAAAATCCACTATTAAGGGGTTAAAATACACATATTTTTCAACAATTGCATTCGAATAGCCTACCATTAACATCTCAGACCTCAAGTAAGATAAAAGTCTTCTGGACTACTAATTGGGCTTTACTACCTAAGCTGAGGATCTCTAAAAGTAAAGGAGAGTAAATATAATGTTTCCCACACTTTTCTGATTTTTATTAGAAGAAAAATAAAACATCCCTACTCTACTCTGTGTTGATCTGTCATGTGAAACCGAAACGTGACAAAATGTGAAAGCTGTTATGGTGAGAACTGCAAGGTAAACCTTGAGTCGCAACGTCTTAGAGAAGCAGGGCCAGCAATTTCGCCACACATAGATGACACACTTGCTTTGAACTCACTTTGAAGGAAGATGAGATAGAGGAAGAGAGTAGAATGGTCTTGTAGAACTTTACCTTTATCTGAAGGAAAAGTAATCTGACAACATGTCAACTCAAGGTACCGTACTTTACAAAAAAAAAAAAAACAGACCATGGTGTCCGATTGGTCACAAGTTTTCTTTCTAAGGAAAACCAGCTGATAGCACATAGCATTGTTGACTTTCCAGGTATCCTTCACACCGATTGTGCATGAAGCAGCAGCGGCGAGGTAAACTCTATTAACTGCAGAACAAGGCTTTGTGTTAGTGACCTTCTGTGTAAGCTGGAGGCAGGTTTTAAGGAGATGGAAGCAGACACACTAAAGAAACAGAAGCACAGATTCACTGATTGGATATCTATATATATATAAAAAAAAGTATATATATATATATATATATATATATATTCATCAGAGGCACTGTGGGACTGGTGCCTATTTCCACCAGTCTACAGTTAGATCGTTGACTTGTACCAACAAAAGAGCTCATATTGCTTCCATTCTAATAGTCCTTTGATGGCTAACAGTTTCTTTTTTTTTTATTAAACAATTTCGATTTTGACTTTCAGAGCTCTGCATGTTCAGGCTTTTTCCAAAATAAAAGAGCTTTTATGTCCCTATATTCTCAACAGAGGCTGAAGTTGTTGGGTCAGAGCCTTCTTATGGTCCTTTGCACCTGTTTAAAGTCCTAAGGAGATTGCTTCTTCCAGGGCCTCATGCCAAGACTCTGGCATGATCCACTCTATACCTTTTCTCTGTTGCTGCTTTCAAGAAAAAAAATGAAAACAAATCTGATTCTCTATGCTTTTTAAATATAGGGCAGGACACGCAACTTGCCGGGGACCCAGCTTTTTCTGCAAAATGAAAGGTAGGCAGGTCGGCCCTTGTTTGATAAACCCATATAAACCCAATAATTTCAGTAGGAAAGAGACTATAGTGATTGAAAGGTTACTTGGACTGGTTTCAACTTTGTCTTTGCAATCCTGTTTTCATTATGATTTCAAAGTCATGCTGATACCTTCAGTTGTATTGAAACAGGATCAATTTTATGCTGCCAAATTTTATTTTAAACAAAAAAAAAATACTCTAATTTGTTACAGCTCAATTTATAACTTCAAATCAAGTTATAGCTCTGATTTGATCAAAACTGATAACTTTTAAAATAATTTTGAAATATGTAATATTCTTGAATTATTAATGTAGATTTGCATAATATTCCAAGAGAAATAGCTGCCTTTTTTCTGCCATTTGATATTAATTTAGCAACTAATTATTCCAGCTGATTTATGCACGGTAAGGCTTTTTATTTCATTTAAATGAAATAAAAATTTTCAAAACAAAAATACAAATTTTAAATTGGAACAACATATGACTTTATTAAACTAAATGACTTGGACATTTCACTTCATTCAGTGCAGAGGTGCAAATGGCTCTCTGCTTTTGCTGCTCCTTTAATATATTTGAAAGGTTTACAGGATGTTCTTTTTCTGGGTGGATCATCTCAACAAGTGGTCCTCCTAATTGTGAAACATTCTGGTGATATGTTTACGAAAGGCCGTCCTACCTGCTCGTCCTGTTAGCTATCTTTTTCTAGGCATTAGCACTTTCAGGCTTATATGTGTGGTGAGCTACAGTTTTAGACATTGAAGCTCATCTTTCTCACAACCGTTCTTTGAAATGGTTAAGGGTCGTAAGAGAAAATGTGTCTACGAAGTGTATGAGAAGAAAAACAAGGCCTCAGAAGAGGCAGATATATCCCGGAATGCTTTATGCAGAGAGCTCTCCTCGCAAATTACTATAGGATTTGCTGTCACAGCAGCCTGCTGTTTCTCCCCGATATCTTCAGCTAATAAAAGAGATGGCACAGGCACCTTGCAGTGGAGAAGGAGTTACATGACCAACGGGGAGCAAAGAGCAGTGATCATCAGTCAGTTAACTTAGTTTGCTATAAAGTCTACTATATAGTCCCCGCTCTATAAAGGGATTTAGGGGATTAAACAGAGCGTGCACGAGGAGAAATGGGCTTGTGCGTGCTCTCGCATGCGTTTAATAGGTGTTCCCTCTCGAGAGCGGGGAACAGGGTTGTGCATGTGCATTTTGATTTTAAAGTGGATAAGGCGGATCTTTAAAGTAGGGAAACGGCTGTTCCAACTGTTGCATATCAAAATTCTCCTGAGTTGTGCAAGAGGTCGTTTATCAAGAGGGTGGGATTGTTGTGGTGGAAGGATTGCAAGCAAGTTTGATTGTGGCCGTTTTCTCGGAAGCATCTTGCTAACCAGTT